AGAGAGAGATTGTGTGAGAGATGAAATTCTCTCTCTCGAAGAAGAAGAATTAGTTAGGTCTGCGCAAGGTTTTTTTGTTGGGTTCAATATTTACACAAATGCCATTAATGATTTCGGGTCGGCCATGCGGGTCACGCGGATCCGCGCGTTTTTGTCTGGATCCAGTCCCAAAAATATCTGAAATTGATCTGATAATTACTGAAATTGTCACTGCCTATGTACAAAATTACTCTTTTCAATTAAATTTTTTTAGTTTAAAAGCAATGGCAATTTGAGTAATATTAGAATGAATTTTGGACATTTTGCTAAATGTACTTCTCATTTAATATTATAGAGATTGTTTTACTTTGTCGTCTACAAAATTGTAGGTAACTTTTCTTTTTTTAAAGTTGGCCCATTGCGCTTTCAACCAAACATTCCTTGAGCAATTTCATACGGAAAGGGAAATGAACCGAATTTATAAGTTCGGTTCGATTTGGATAAAACCGATAACTCCGATTTTAGAATTGTTCGATTGGTTTTAATTCTTCAAATCGAAATCGCACAAGTATCGTAGTTACTGAGAGAGAACAATGGCGTCACCGAGCCATGCCCCTGATCACGGCGGCGACACGGTCGAGACTCGGTCTCCTGAGATCAGAAAAGATCCGGTGACTAACCGATGGGTCATATTCTCTCCCGCCCGGGCCAAGAGACCGACTGATTTCAAATCCAAATCTCCGCAGAACCCTACACCTAAACCTTCCTCGTGTCCCTTTTGCATCGGTCGTGAGCACGAGTGCGCTCCGGAGATCTTTCGTGTGCCAGATGATCCGAATTGGAAAATCCGGGTCATCGAGAATCTGTACCCGGCTCTAAGCAGGAATCTCGAGACCGAATCGAAGCAACGCGAAACCGGTACAGGTCGTACTGTAGTCGGGTTCGGATTCCACGACGTGGTGATCGAATCCCCTCTTCACTCGATTCATCTCTCCGATATCGATCCTGTAGGTATCGGCAATGTCTTGATCGCTTATAGGAAGAGAATCGAGCAGATTACGCAACATGATTCGATCAATTACATTCAGGTATGCTAATCTTTAGCTTCCACTCATTATTCTAAAAAGAAGCTACATTTAGCTAAGGACTTCACATTATTCAGTCTATAAGCTCTATTTGTGTGAATCTGTAATGAAATGCACCATCTATTGTTTAGCTATCTGTGCTTGTGTTATGTGTTGATCTTTGGGTTGCTTACATAGTTATATTCATCGAGAATCGGTTTCTTTTTGTACGTTTGTTTTCGTATACTAAAAGGTTTTCAAGAACCACGGTGCGTCGGCTGGAGCATCAATGAGTCATTCCCACAGTCAGATCATGGCTCTACCAGTTGTTCCTCCAACAGTTTCTTCACGGCTTGATGGTACGAAAGATTATTTCGACGAGACTGGGAAATGTTGTCTTTGTGAAACTAAATCGAAAGATTTTGTGATCGATGAGTCGTCCCATTTTGTTTCCGTTGCTCCTTTCGCTTCTACGTTTCCCTTTGAGGTTTGGATTATTCCCAAGGATCACTCTTCCCACTTCCATCATCTCGATGACGTCAAGGTAAACCTTTTACTGTTACGAAGTTCCGTTTACAATGCAAGTTCCTGGATCATCATCACCTTACTCACTTAGTTTTGATGATTTACAGGCCGTTGATCTTGGAGGACTTTTGAAACTCATGCTTCAGAAGGTAGCAAAGCAACTAAACGACCCTCCGTATAATTACATGATCCATACTTCTCCCCTCAAGGTCACAGAATCACAGTTACCATATACGCACTGGTTTTTACAAATTGTACCTCAGCTTTCTGGGGTAGGTGGGTTTGAGATTGGCTCAGGGTGTTACATAAACCCTGTTTTCCCAGAGGATGTAGCAAATGTTTTGCGGGAAGTTAGCCTTGCTTGAACCTTCTAAAGCCGAGGTTGTGAGTGAAGTGGAGTTATAGGGTTCTTCAGAAAACGCGGTTCATCTTCGTTGTTTTCTCTGTTGAAGAGGAAGATGTTTCAGCTTTGATTTAAATAACATTAATGTAAACAATAATAGTTCATTTGTAGAAACTGAATCTCTTGGACCCAAGCATACTGAACTTGGCAGATTATGATGATTGCCATTTATCTATCTATAACAAGAGACTCACTCATTGTT